AAAAAATGCACGTAATATTACGGTGATATTTAGTTTCTGCCTGCAAACAAAGATGCCAGTCATGAGATAGTTTAGTTTCTGCCTGCATACACAGATGCCAGTGTTGTGGTGACACAGCTTGGATGTATTGATGGCTGAAGTGTAGTAGCCCCTCTTATTGTTACATCTGAGATCAGTTGATCAGGAAATAGTACTTGACATGTTCAATGGGCTAGTGTATGTCTGGTAGTGGACGATGTGTCGATCGTGTCTTGTTACGAGATGACACCGCTTAGCTCCAGTTGCCCAACTGCGTCAAAGTACCAAATGTTGATTTGATGGAAACTACGTTCTGGCTGATCCAGCAGAGTGTGCATTGAAACCAGTGACAAGGACAATGACTTATAGTTAAAGTACATCTTGCAACATCTATCTGTAAGGAAATGACGTTATGGAGAAATGTAGTCTGTGTTCTGTCACATGTGGATTATTGTCTGTGGTGTTGATGTATAATCTGTACCAGGTAGGTCAAGATGTTATTCCAGTTAATGTTTATTCACAAATTTACTTTTTTTTGCTTTATGTATTATCATTTTAAAATGGCTGTTTATAACCTTAATTGTCGTTTTAAGAATTTATATTAAGTCACAAATAATATTCTTGTGTCAGGACATTTTTGTAATAATTTGGAATATTTCAACTGTAACATGTATACTTAATTATTAAAAGGTTTTAAATGTTCACTGAAAATTCATAATATAATTTTGGCCTGTTGTTATAAAAGAGAATTTTTTCATTTCAAAAACATGTTTGCATTGTTTCAGTAGCTGTTATTATAAATAGTTTATTTCCTATATTTCAACATCAGTTATCATGATGGTGTAATTTTATTATTAATACAAATATTTTGCTTTTCATTTTAAAGATGTGTATTTCACCATTTTTGAATGCTGTTTATCCCAGAATATTATCAGTATACTTTACATGAGCATATGTTTTATTGAATATTTTTCACTTCAAGGCCACAATTTGTTTTTAATTTTATGGATTGTCCACCAATAGGTCAAGATTTAGAAACGATGGGACATAGTATTGTTCATGATATTATTTTCCTTTCCATTGTTTTAAGAGTGAGTGAGTTGGGTTTAACGCCGCTTTTAACAGTATTCCAGTTATATCGCGGCGTGTCAGCTTAATGTGGGAGGAAAGCCCCAAGTGATGCAGGCCTCAGACGTTTACCACTTCGGTGAAACCCACGAGCACGGGTATGGTGCTGACAAACCTAGAAACATAATCGGGGCGAACCTGGATTCAAACCCACAATCATAGGTTTCTGGCGTGCCCAAGGGACGCAACTCTGCACAGTGAACCGCGGCACCTTAGACGACTGGGCCACCCATGCCCCCCATTGTTTTAAGAATGTAAGATGACTACGTTTATTGATAGAACAAAGATGTAAAATTGGGGTAGTATGCATCCCAACCTGAGTTCATCGAAAGACAATGGATAATGGACTGTCTTATCTTTGCCCTCATCTTGGCTAATGTTCTGTTTTCCCATTTGCTCTATCTTGGCACGACCCTCAGAATTATCAGCAGTGCTACTAGTAGATGTCTTGCAAATATAGGGCAGTGGGGTCACCGAGTGATTACAGCATAGTGGGGGCACAGGTTCACAAGATTCACCCTCATTTACGTTCTACGTTTGTTAGCATCATAACTGTGCTTGTGGGTTTCGCCAAAGTTGTTCAGGGGAAGACCTGCATCACTTTGGGCTTTCCTCCTACTTCAAGCTGACACCTTGAATGACCACTCACTCACTCGACCCGTGAAGATCCGGGGTAGAATAGGTCTTAAGCAAACCATGCTTGCCGTAAAAGACCACTATGCCTGTCGTAAGAGGCGACTAAGGGGATCGGGTGGTCAGGCTCGTTGACTTGCTTGATGCGTGTCATTGTATCCCAATTGTGTGGATCAATGCACATGACGTCAATCATACGTCCATGCTCAATTATTTACAGGCTGCTGTCATATAGCTGGAATATTGCTGAGTGCGGCTTTAAACAACAAAACAAACAAAAACACTCACTCACATTTTGAAATCCTAACCAATGCTTTGATAAAAGCAGTATTAAAAATGATACACAATTAGCTAAAAACACACTTTATAAATACAAATGAAGGAAGGCAGGACATTTTTGACAGAAGACCCACACTGGTCACCTGCTGTTTTAAATATGAATGATTTCTACCAAATATGTGTGACATGTAATGTGTGTGAGAAACTGGAGGTATTTTAATCTGCTTACCAGGAACCCCATGTGGTTCTCTGTGGCAAACCCCAGCACCCAGCTGAGTATCATGGTATGGCACGACAAGTCACATATCCTGTGGAAGTGTGTCCGTAAGAGGATTAAGGGTCCATCTCTGTAAAGATTATCTGATTAATGTTCATTGTATGCTATCCACAGGTGTGTAGTTTTTTACTCAGTACTTGAATCAGCCGCAAAAAATATTTTAGTGGTTATTAGTGAATTAATTACAGATAGCAACAATAAAACATTTTGTCAGTTGAAATGTAAATAACATGCTCAAAATTATTTGTCGGATAAATGTTAAATAGCAGCAGGGATTTATCTTGACCCCCTCAGCAGAGCCTGCAGCAAATGTCAGTAAATAATTCCGAATTTGAATAAAAACGTTCCCAATTCATGTCAATATCGTTATAGCTATAATGATGCCTTTGTCAGATTGTTTTGTATTTCACTGACGTCAGGACCAATAAGGAGGCTTTAATGCTTAGTATTACATTATTTAATGAAATGTTAATATACAGTGTTAAAAGACCTGAATTTGTAAATATAGGAACCTTTTTTTACAATAGTTCCAATTTTGAACAATATAACATTTTTTGCTTGAATGGTTTTTGACCTTATTTGTAAAGAAAATCTGCAAAAATTATATTTAACCAATAAAAAATAAAACTCTATTACCAATGAAAGATCTTGTAACAATTACAATGTAAGATTATAAAATGTTTTTTAATGCATATTTTTTGTTAGGATTTTGTTAATTTTGTTTACTAATGTTTACACTGTTTCTACTCAAATAGACTTGTTTATTTTGTTATGAAGGAAACAAGAAAGGAAGGAAGGACAACTGTAAGATAATAGAATGTGATAAATATATAAATAGATATGACTTTAACTCCAAAATAGATTTTCATCAAATTGTTATGACATTTTCTTCAGAATGTTGCACAGAAACCTGTAAGGAGTCCTATAGTACATAGTGTTGTATAACTGCCGTAATGAAGACCACAAAGTGAAAAGGTCAATACTATTTGTGATGAATGGCATGACATTACAAGCCATAATGGCAGCCGGTGTTGTAATTTTGGAAATGATGGAGCACACTTTGAAACTAGCAGGAATCCTAATGATGCAATAATAGATGTGAACAATGGCATGAATCTTTTGCCTGCAGCGCTCAGATCGTTATCAAAGTGTGAAAAGTAATGAATGTTAAATCCTGCCTTGAAGCATGTGGCTATGATAAAATGACCAGCACATAAGTGTGTGTAGTGTGAACTGTGTGATAGTAGTTGTCATTCCCAGCCTGAGGGAGAAAATATGCTCAGCATGTTGGGTTTCACTGTTAAATGTAATCAGTCTCACACACGCAGGCAGACAGAGAAGTACCTTTGTGTTCCTGGGTTTGTATTTGATGAATAATGTTGCTAGTTTGGGTTTTAACTACCGTATTTGACGTAATAAGCGGCCAGGGCGCTCTCAAAATTAGGAATAGGGGGCTCTTATTAGAATATTATTTTGGTGAAAAAAAACAGAGTTGAAAGATAAATTTTGTGGTTTATGCTGACAGCCTGAAATGTTTTTGTACGACAGATATATTTTTCCAGAATGAAATTGGCCATAATTAAGGGTGCATATAACACACGAGTGTGTATTATACGTGAATAAATGTCTTGTGTACATTGATCAATTGGTAAGGGTGCTAATTGGGATTATTCACTAGCCAATATATTAGCAAATATTGCCATGGGCGCTTATTAGAGCGGGCGCTTATTACGTCGAATACGGTATATGCTCAAGTTTCCATCTGTGATTATTTAATACACTTAGATGAGCTGGTAAAACTTGCAATAACAAAACCTAATTGTAAAAATTTGTAAAATACCTCATTTGACGAACTTCAATTCTAGGTGTTTAGGTTAAGAGTTTAAGGAACTTTTTATTTGAAGCTGATAGGATAAAAGTTTCTTTGGTTCCTCAGTATTCTCCTTATTTTAGTATAGTCATCATCATCATCATCATCATTATGATTATTATTATCAATTTCATTTGCTGTCGTTCCAACACTTTGTTAATTAACAATGATTCATGCTTAACTCTTAAGAAAAGCTGTCCAGGAATAAATAATCTTTTCTCAAGAGACATTTTTTTTGGTCTTTAATCTAGGTGTTAGATAAAAATCACTTAAACAAACTTGAAACTGCGTAGTACCATGCCATTGTCTGCGAAAGTCATTCCATTTCATTTGTATAAATCTGTTCAATTTGTGGTCGGGCTGAGGAGCACTGGATTTACTACAGATCCCAGAATTAGCTCTCATTAGCAGCACACAGACAAATATTTAGTACCACTTCCTGCGATTACTTCCATCTGGGCTTTCAGCAGCCTCTGTCTGCACATCAACACTCATCAGATTTGATTGTACTAATACCCTGTAGGCCGAGGTGGTTGGCAAGAAGGTGGAATCACCAGATAGACAATAATATACTCAGTTTGAACTCTTGTGTGGAAGGAGACTTCCCGAAATAGATGGTGGTGAGATAATTGGCTATACATAGTTCCAGGCTTGTCACCTGGGCTTCGACTATACTTTCCCACAATGCAACGCTCATATTTACTGTTGTATTGCTCCAAGAAGCATTGCATTTGGACTGATAGTGTGGTTCATGTTGGATTCATGTGAATTCTTTATATATCAGGTAGTGTTTATGATATTTTCTGATGTGTAAGTTTTCATTTTGTAATTGCATAAGCATGTTGCATTAATATGGATGATCTGTGATGACAGTGTTTTATAGCTGGTCTGCTTTTGATTTTGAAGATGACAGGATGTATAGGATTTTGAATTTTGTTGTGAATGAGGCTGACCGTTTCTCTGTTAACTTATAACTGTTTGTAACAGCTGCATTTTTATCTAAGCATGTCGTACTGGGCAATTAAGTTTGAAAATAAAAACTAACGAGGGAACAAAGAAGATGATACAAATTTACACTTTTCCAACATTTTAAACCAGTGGATACTGTGATCCAGGTTATGAAATTGCTTGTTCTGAAATTTTGGTGAGATTTAACAAAATATTGAACTGCTAATGCATTTTGTGGTATAAGATCTAGTTCATACTGTATAGCATAAAGTCATTGTCCAAACCCTCAACATTAGGAAATACACAAATATTAATGATCAACATCTTCTTTTTTCTCTCGAATTTTGGTCTTGTTACTGCATGAATAAGGAAATGTTTTTGTATACCAACGTTCATTTCCTGTGTTGTCACGGTGACAAACTGGCCCCACCCTAAATGATCAAAGGTGTAACAGCAGTTATCACATGCTCCACATAGCAGGACAATAGCTGTAGACAGTTTTATACTTATATAATATATACCAGGAAGTAGGCTTCACTTGAGCTGCTGCTGTTGATGCAGGGTTCATCATAGATGCTGCTGTAACAAGTGTTTTTGATGTAGGTCCACGACTTCCATGTATTTGCTCGCTATGGGCTAGGAAATTAACTTTAGAATAGATTTGATTTTCGCAATAATACTTTGTTTTATTTGTCATTGTTTTTTCTTCAGATGGATTGTTTTCAGTTTTCTGAAGTCATTTTTCATTTGAAATTATTCATGATTTTATTTGTGTTTTTTTTTTCTAAACTATGTTTACTGTGTTATGAACAAGAGACTTAACTTTTTTCTGTCTTTTCCAGATGAGAGACAAGACTATTGATGCCATGACCTGTCGACTCCTGCTTGCCTCTTCTTGAAGAACAGTTGTCAGCAAGCACTACAATGGTTCTCGTGGAGGAAATAGAAATAAACATTGCCAACCAGAACTTGAACAATGACTTTCCTAGTTTACTGGAAACACAGACGGAGGCTAACATCCCGACATTACCATGTGTGACAACAAATCCAAACACAATATGGGAGATCGAGGAGATTGTGGGTGTGGTGGTAACTGCCATTTTGGTGCCATTCATTCTTGGAAGCAACTTTTTGGTGATCCTAGCTGTCAGTAAATTCAAGCGTCTTCAGATTCCAACAAATTATTTCCTTGTGTCTTTAGCAGCTGCCGACATCTTCATAGCACTTGTCATACCTTTTGTAATTTGTGTGGACATCCTGAAAGACAGCATATCGGACATCTACTTGTGTTTATCGCCGAATCGCATATTGATGATGGCATGTGGGGTGTCTATTCTGACATTGGCAGCCATTGCATATGACCGCTACACAGCACTGGTCAACCCACTAGAATATGTAAGTGTTATGACTGTGAAGAAGATTTCAATTCTAGTTTCCTTGTCCTGGATCTACTCAGCTGCAATTGCTTGGCTGCCATTGTTCAGTCATTGGCATGAAGACATAGATATCGACAGTGAACCATGCTCATTTCGACTTCTCCACAGTAATGCTCATGTGCTTTTTCTCAGCGCGGTATTCGCTCCAGCGTGCCTTGCAATATTCTTTTGCTATTTTAGAATATATATCGTGGCTCGCCATCATGCTCGGGCAATCGCAGCAGTAGAGTCATCCGTCCGACACAATATTCAAATGAGATATATTATGAAGGATACCAAATATGCCAAAACTCTGGCATTAGTGATGGGAGTATTTCTCTTTCTTTGGCTGCCATATTTGACTTGTTTGTTCAGTGAAGTTATTGCAAATGTGTTTGTCAATGACTGGATCCGAAATTATTTATCTTTCTTAGCATTTTTAAACAGTGGTGTCAACCCTTGGGTGTATGCCTTCAAAAACAATGAATTTAAAGCAGCGTTTAAGAGAATATTCAAGGAACATTGTGGGAAATTCAGCCTGTGTCGGTCACGTGATCCCCGTCGACCGAGCGTGATATCGGACACCAGTGTGTTCCCTGCTTCGAGCAGTACCGTCCGGCTCAGTCGGACTAACAGTCGCATCGCATCATCAGAAGTGCTTCAAACGGTCGCCAAACTCGGTGAAGTCACAAACATTGAAGTTGATAGTCAGTTTGGTACAGTGTCAAAGCTGAACAACGGGTTCATCCCAGACTTGCTCAAAAATCACATCTCAGGGCCTCACACGAAAATTGATGAGTGTCCGGAAGATGTGTTTACGGAGGTTGTGACGGAGTCGGGACTTGACAGTGGTGTTGATGTTGACGACTCGAGAGAGGATAACAGTATTGATGACAGCACAGAGAAGTATTGAACTGTGTCTCCATGATTGCTCAATGACATGGAAATAAGACTGACAGTGAGAAAGAAGAAATATCTTTCACATCAACAGGTCCAACAGGAAGGAAGAGAACACGTGACTATCAAATGTGAATTCTTGAACAACTTGTTTGACTTATTAATGACAGTTACGGGCGACAGACAATTTCATCTTAAGAGATGACAACAGATATATACAAATTTGTTGGATGTGCTGTGACACTTTAACACTGAGTGGTTTAAGCCTCTTTGTGATTGTGAAACTGTTTCATACTAGGAAACCAGAATCTCATTGACATGTCAACTAAATTGTGAACTTTATAGCCGATTCTGAACAAGAAGGATTCATGGCAGCGTCATGAGCTCTATCAGATGAAGAAAGATCTACACACTTGTTCTTATATCGGACACATGGTCCAATTTAAGACAGGTATCAGGTATCATGCAGTGTTGGGTATTTGTATCACACACATGGAACAGGTATCAAGCAGGACATTTGTTATCATACATTGTCAAATAAATATGAGATGGTTGTCAAGGTGTAAGACAGAAAATTGAATATATTGTGTATTTGATGTCTGATTTTTAAGTTACAGAACACTGATATTTATTTTCAAATATTTGATATCCTCGATTTATAACATTTAAAACATCACTACCAGACATTGATGAGTAGTAAATACTCAACAGCTTTATTTAATTACGAGGTATAAAACATCAATTCCAGACATTGTTAATTTTTTAATAATCTTCTCCAATGAGGCATGATCTTGATGGCTACCTCAGTGATCCGTTGCGGTGCGTTTGTTGTTTAACACTGCACTCAGCAATATTCCAGCTATTCCAGGTCTGTAAATAATCGAGTCTGGACCATAAAATCCAGTGATTGACACCATGAGCATCGATCCACGCTTTGTGATACGATGACATACATCAACCAAGTCAGCGAGCCTGACCACCCGACTCTGTTAGTCGCCTCTTACGAAAAGCATAGTGATACAGGTTATTGTACTAATGTCCAAATGTCGACCTGTGACATGACATGTTCCGTGTATACATTGACCTGAGACTTGATATGTCGACCATACAAGCATGTTACAATGTACAGTGAGAAGCACTGTCAACAGAGACTCGTCCCACCTGTGATATTGAATGTACAATCCAGTGATTTGTAAACATTGTAAATATCAACATGTCAACAAGTAGAAAGTTGTATATGTATGTCAGTATTTGAATTGTTTCTTGTATGAGTGGGAATCATGTGAAGAAAAGAAAGACATGAAATTTGTAGAACTGATAAGGACGGACATATTCGTTTTGTTTGAAGGATGTTGTTTCATTTTAAAACAAGAAATACCAGTAATGAAATTAATATTAGATTGAAAAATATGCTGGCTTTGAACAACTTTTCATTTTTATTTATATTTTTATCTCGAGATTTCTTCAGGAAATCATACAAAACTTGCTGAATATGTAACAGGGATCTGAAAAATAACTTTCAGAATTTTTTCTTCTTTCATTTTTTTCTTTGTTAAACATTTTTACGCTTGTCATATATGAATTATCCTTTTAAACTCATGTGTATGGCATATTACAAAGATAATCATATGGACAAAAATAAATAAAACTTTGTCCAGCCCAGAAAAGTAAACAGCTATTTGTAAGCAGTTGCCCTTGATAATGACTGTTTGTATTTGTAAATTCTTTACCGTCACATGTTGATGATGTATGGACAGATCATTTTGTAAGGTTGAAGTAAACTCAGTTTTATATTAGTTACTATTTTGACTTGTTTTGACTTGTTGCCAGGAAACATCAGTTTTGTACTTTGTATTTATTATATAAACTCTTGTTTTGTGTTGTATTTTGTAGGCAAGAATGCAATGAATTGTGAACTATGACATATGTACACATGTCTGGAATGTTTGGAATGTTCCACCGTGTTTCCAGGATGTTGTATCTCTAATTCAGATCAACAGGCCGAGGAAAAGACAGGTCCGGTTCAGCATCAGTAGAACAGTGAGTGAGTGAGTGAGTTTGGTTTTACGCCGCTTTTAGCAATATGCCAGCAATATCACGGCGGGGGACACCAGAAATGGGCTTCACACATTGTACCCATGTCGGGAATCGAACCCGGGTCTTCGGCGTGACGAGCGAACGCTTTAACCACTAGGCTACCCGACCGCCCCTCAGTAGAACAGCGTCTTTCAGGAACAGATATGATATATAACAAATTGTGTTGGTTAACCTAGGTTATGACTAGTTTCTAATGTTAATTGATGGAATAAAGATTAACTGGAGTAGTGAATTTTTCTTATGTTTACACATTTCTCTTTTTTCCAGTACACAGATAGAGAAATCATTCTGTACATCCCACTGGATGTGATAGGATCTTTGTGTAACCTCTTAACCTTGATTGTTGAAATATCTGTTTAAATGTGTGTACATATGTAAATTAATAAAATATTTGAATTAATATAAAAAAATGTTTCAAATTCTTTTTTTATGAATGCTCCCCTGCAGAAGACATGAAGTACACTGTATGTGACCAGACATACTGGTGCTTCCTAGTAACAAATTTGTGCATTTTTCTGTTTTAATGCCACATTCCTAAATATTTAGCTATATGACGGTGGCCTGTGAGCTTGTGGCGGGGTGCTGGTGGACTGCATTACAAGTTACATTTGGCGTCTTGGGATACATCCCAAATTATAAATTATTTAGGATAGGGTTACCCGCATTACAGCAGGAACCAATTTATCCATTCTGCTTTACAGCAGATGGCTTAGTGTCCGCTTTACAGCGGATGGTCAGCTTGGCAACAATAGTTGCCCTCGCTCATGGTTTGGCAATGGTACTTGCCTGGCAGCGATAGCTGCATAGCAACATGGGTTGCTTGGCAACGGTAGTTGCAGGGCAGCGGGCGCTGCATTGGTAAGCAACATGGGTTGCTTGGCAACGGTAGTTGCAGGGCAGCAGGCGCTGCATTGGTAAGCAACATGGGTTGCTTGGCAACGGTAGTTGCGGGGCAGCGGATGCATCGGTAAGCAACATGGGTTGCTTAGGAACGGTTTGTGCAGGGCAGCGGTTGCTGCAGTTGGGGTTGCTTAACAGGGGTTAAGCTCATTGCCGTAGTCCACCAGTACCTCCACATCCGCGACCATTTCATCCAATAATACCTCTTGTCTTAATTTGAAGCTCCGCTATCATGCATGATGGCGGAGCCTGTCATAATAGAGCCATGTCCTTATATAATAGCATTTAGTGATTAGAACTAAATGCCTTTATGTTAGGCTTGGCACAGTTGCTAATATTATTACAGCGAAATACCTTCATTCCGTGCGGCTACGTGCCGTTTTGCATGGTGCCATCGTCTCTGGCCTAGATCCGCTCTTGGCACGTCCGGTAAAGGAGCGTTTGTTTATATTTTCTATGACCTGTTGTAGCGTGACATCAGCTCACGCAGCACTTGCTCTCCAGCTTTCAGCCGTACAACACATAGTTATATTCGCGCATTTATCTATAGTTCGTTGCACCCACCCACCCACCCTGTTATCCTTAATTCCAAGTTATTCAAGCTTTGCAGTTGTCAATTGGTGGAATTTTACTGGAGCATAATGTTTGTATATAATGATGTTGTCATGAATAATATGTTGCGGATGGGCGGGGTGCTGGTGGACTGCATTACAAGTTACATTTGGCGTCTTGGGATACATCCCAAATTATAAATTATTTAGGATAGGGTTACCCGCTTTACAGCAGGAACCAATTTATCCATTCTGCTTTACAGCAGATGGCTTAGTGTCCGCTTTACAGCGGATGGTCAGCTTGGCAACAATAGTTGCCCTCGCTCATGGTTTGGCAATGGTACTTGCCTGGCAGCGATAGCTGCATAGCAACATGGGTTGCTTGGCAACGGTAGTTGCAGGGCAGCGGGCGCTGCATTGGTAAGCAACATGGGTTGCTTGGCAACGGTAGTTGCAGGGCAGCAGGCGCTGCATTGGTAAGCAACATGGGTTGCTTGGCAACGGTAGTTGCGGGGCAGCAGATGCTGCATCGGTAAGCAACATGGGTTGCTTGGCAGCGGTTGCTGCAGTTGGGGTTGCTTAACAGGGGTTAAGCTCATTGCCGTAGTCCACCAGTACCTCCACATCCGTGACCATTTCATCCAATAATATCTCTTGTCTTAATTTGAAGCTCCGCTATCATGCATGATGGCGGAGCCTGTCATAATGGAGCCATGTTCTTATATAATGCCACATTCCTAAATATTTAGCTATATGACGGTGGCCTGTGAAAAACTGAGTCCAAACCATAGGTTACTGGGGACCTATTCTAACCCGGAATCTCCAAGGGGTGGACCAGCATAGGTTACTGGGGACCTATTCTAACCCAGAATCCCCAAGGGGTGGACCAGCATAGGTTACTGGGGACCTATTCTAACCCAGAATCCCCAAGGGGTGGACCAGCATAGGTTACTGGGGACCTATTCTAACCCAGAATCTCCAAGGGGTGGACCATTATAGATTACTGGGGACCTATTCTAACCCAGAATCCCAAAGGGGTGGACCAGCATAGATTACTGGGGACCTTTTCTAACCCAGAATCCCCAAGGGTGCAGACCACACAGACTGCTGAGTTTGGCGTGTGCCTGGAGTAAGGGCCTGGCTTACTGGTGCTCACACTATTGACCACTGGTTTGTCAGACCCAAGTTTCATTATGTTCATGTCACTGAGATAAAGCTATTATATTAATGACAGTCTTAATACACTTGTAATACGAGAGAAGAGTATAAACAAATCTTTTGGTGTAAAAACACTTTCAATGGAATTTGTAGCCAGAAATCTTTAGTGTTCAACTCTTGTTGATTTAAAGCACAAACAAAATCTCAATCCCAAATTTGAAAAATATGGTATTTGGCATGGCCACATGAATATTGTATTTATTATAGGTCTACACTGAATCAGAGTAACTTGGCTCCAGGTGATATATTTTCTTTGCACTATGTCAGACAGGCTGTTGCATTGTCATGGTAGTGTTGGATGTCATCCATTGGGGTAAAATTTAATTAGAGCAATGTTTACCTGAATACATGTTGTAGGCTCTGATCAGGCCTACAACAAAATGTGAGTGAGTGAGTGAGTGTCAGAGAGAGAGAGTTAGGGTGGGTGAGGGGGGGTGGGTGTGTGAGATGGCTGGGGGGCAACAGAAATGGACTTCCCACATTGTACCTGGAGAATCAAACCCGGGTGTAGGTGAGCTAGCACTTTAACCACTAGGCTACCCCCTGAATGTTCATTATCATTTACATCATTTTTTGTCTGTGGTTCTTGATGTTGAAGTTTATGATGAAATTTGTGATTTCTTTTTAATTTTTAATACAAAAAAACAAACAATGTATGATATTACACAAATAAAGAACATATAAACATATTAACAAAAGAAGTTAAAGACCACCTGATTGTGTTATATGTCTATAGTATATCTGTACTGCCATGACAACTATAGAAATATGAAAGAATTTGTGTTCTTTAACTTCTTTTGAGTAGTATATATGATTATCCCTACTAACTTCCCACAAACCAAAGGGCAGGGAATTAGAACCATTCTTAGGCCCAATATTTGCTTTTGGGAGGCTGCTGTTCTGTTTCCATTTCTTTCAAAAATGCAGTCATTATTTCTCTTGGATTAGGGATCCCCGTCCAAAGTTTTAGTAATGAAAATATACATGAATGTAGATCGATATGGAAATGGAAGTAACTGCTTGAATTGATACTACAAGAAGGCTATCTGTTGCTACCCTTCCTACACACTTTGTTGATGTCAATTCATAAATTTTAACACGTTTTTTGTTGCTATTTTAGGTTTGTTTCTAACAAGATTTCGTAAAAGCCTTACATCATACAAAATTACATACATACATACTTGCAAACGAAATGGCATCTTGATTTGCACATCAGTCATCAGAGTTGAAAAGTACATTCTGTTTGTAGGCAGAAAGCGAAATTCACCGCAAATCACCGAAACGCTCATAAAATATACGAATTTACTCGTGATTAGTGAAACATGTTGCCTCTCCTTGTCGGGAAAATAAATACATTTGCTCAGAGACCACATGTGTTGCCTTTGATATGTCTAACTTGTCTGTTGATAAAAATGGTTTCTCTTAATATAACGATATCCTTATAGGGTTCTCAATCAGTACGTGAGAACGCCACGCTCAGCAATATCGCTCCTGTATCGCGGCGGCCTGTAAATAATCAACTGTGGGCAAGACAAACCAGTGGTTGACATTATGAGCAATGTTCCAGGCTGACGGTGAACGCTGACACGCAATAACCCACTTCACTGAACCAACCGACCAATCCATTTCAGTCGCTTCTTACAAAAAATGCTGGTTTGCCCTCGTTATGTTTCTCCGTTAATCAGCATCAAATGCCCCATTCGTCTCCATTCGTCCCTTTCCGTAACCTGCAGTATTCGGCTTGTCCCGGAATAACACGAGTTAGTCACGAATGCAAATGCCCGTGCTACCAAAGTGGTAAACGTCTTAGACCTGAACATAGGCGGATCCAGAAAGAAAACCAAATGTAGTATGTTGTAGGCAGTAACATTATCTGAGAGGGTTTTCATATTTTGGACCCCTCCCTTTTGCAAATGCTGGTTCCGCCCTTGCTGCTTCACTTCAGGCTTTCCCCTAACATGTATTTGGTATGAGGTGAACTAATGTGAAAATATAAGTGATTGTAGCTAGAACGGGCTAAAACTGGTCCCGGGGCGCACTGGTGGCCCAGTCGTTTAAGGCGCCGCGATTAGCTGCGCAGAGTTGCGTCCCTTGGGCACGCCAGAAACCTATGATTGTGGGTTCGAATCCCGGTTCGCCCCGATTATGTTTCTAGGTTTGTCAGCAACATACCAGTGTTCGTGGGTTTCACCGAAGTGGTAAACGTCTGAGACCTGCATCACTTCGGGCTTTCCTCCCACATTAAGCTGTCACGCCGTGATATAACTGGAATACTGTTAAATGCGGCGTTAAACCCAACTCACTCACTCACTCACTCACCCACTCGAACTGGTCCCCGGCAATCTGTATGCTGGTCGTAAGAGGCGACTATATGAATCGGGTGGTGACTCGGTTAAATTGATGCATGTCACAATTGATGCGTGCCTCCACAGCATGGATCGTTGCTCATGATATAGATCACTGGATTGTCGCCAAATAGCTGGAATATTACTGAGCGGGGCGTTTATCAACCAACGAATGAAAACAAATCTTAGATATGCATCACTTCGGGCTTTCCACCCACATCAAGCTAACACACCTTTATTGTAATGGAATACTGTTGAAAAACCAAACTCACTCACAAACAACATGCAATAATATAGGTTACTGTGGACCTCTCCGATATCCCACAGGTTCCTCAACAGTGACAACAAAGCTTGTTTACATGTCAATAACAATTATACACGTGCGGTAGATTACACGCGTTTGTTCCTGTTACATGTTATCGTCGGCCACATACGGAAGGAACACTTGTCAACGCGGATATATCGTATTCCTGTGCCACCGTGTTCCTTGTTGAGCCAAATCGCCTGCCTGATGGCCTTCTGAGTCGCAAATCAACATGAGACACACTTTATTCAGATGTAGTTCTATCATCGTCATATCCTCTTCAACACGCCCGAGACCGCCTCCGTGGTCTAGTGGTAGAGCCTCCGCCCAGAGAGCGGGTGGCCCAGGGTTCGATCCCCGGTCGCGTCATACCAAAAAACGTTAAATAATGGTACTTGTTGTTACCCTGTCTGGCGCTCGGCATTAAGGGGCTAAAACAAGGACTGGTCGGCTCGGAGACAGTATACTGTGTCTGAGTGGGATATTCATTTTAAACCGCGGCATGGTATCTGAGTGAGCTAGCACTATAAATCGGCATCAGCCCGGACTAGTACAAGCAGCCACACACACACGTGCATGCACGTCGCTATAGAAGTGCAATAATCTTGGACGAGACGTTAAACCCCATGTCACTTCACCTCAACACGCTCGACGTCATGTTTGTTTGTTGTTTAACGCCGCACTCAGCAATATTCTAGCTGTATGACGGCGGTCTGTAAATAATCGAGTCTCGACCGGACAGTCTGGTGATTGACATCATGAGCATCAATCTACGCAATTGGGATACGATGACATGCATCAACTAAATCTGCGAGCCTGACCACCCGATCCCGTTGGTCGCCCCTTAGGACAAGCATAGGTTGCTGAAGTCTCATTGTAACCCGGATCTTCACAGGGTCGCTCGACGTTAACGCACCGAGCAGTAAATCATTTTGTTAGCATGCATCTGTTCGCTACACTGCTAACTCGCGGATCAGATCATCTTAGTCTCTTCACTGTGGTTCGTTTATCAATCCAGTTATATCTTCCCTGGAAGTCACAAAAGTTTGTTTCGAATAAATGACATAAAAACCCCATTAAGAATTCGAAGCTCCTTTCGCACGTCATATTAGGTAATATTCCGGATAACATCAATCAGGTATTAAATACAATTACCGATGAACTCTATAGCCTACCTTGCATCTACCTGTTGTCAATTGCCAATTTTGACCTTTGATGAATGCCGCTGGTTCCCTCAGGCAGGTGAGAGCGGGGCATCATTGTAGTCACGCTCAGGTGTTTATTGCTCTGTATTGAGGTATGTGTCTCTGGGTGTTATAGATCACCATAATACTGTGAGTGGGTCTCAGACAGTGTAATTGATTGCTTGCTGTCTAGTGATTAATTACTGATAGGAATCGGAGCTCTACAGAAACTCTACTGAGTGAGTGAGTGAGTATGGTTTTACGCCGCTTTTAGCAATATTCCAGCAATATCACGGCGGGGGACACCAGAAATGGGCTTCACACATTGTACCCATGTCGGGAATCGAACCCGGGTCTTCGGCGTGACGAGCGAACGCTTTAACCACTAGGCTACCCGACTGCCCCTGGAAACTCTACTGCTCCTAAGTCATAAGTAAATCCAGTGAGCCCCTCCCCTTCTTTTGAAAAAAAAATAATAGTATGTTGTTGGAAGTAAAACTATCTGAGAGAGGATTTGGATATTTTGGACCCTTCCCATTTATAAATGCTGGAGACCGCCTCCGTGGTCTAGTGGTAGAGCGTCCGCCCGGAGAGGGAGAAGGTCCGGGGTTCGATTCCCGACCGCGTCATACCAAAAGACGTTAAAATATAGTACTTGTTGTTACCCTGTCTGGCGCCCGGCATTAAGGGGCTAAAACAAGGACTTGTCGGCTCGGAGACAGTATACTTTGTCTGAGTGGAGTATTCATGTTAAACTGCGGCATGGTATCTCAGTGAGGTAGCACAATAAATCGGCATCAGTCCGGACTAGTACAAGCAGCCATACAAACACATACACGTACATGCACGTCGCTATATAAGTGCAATAATCTTGGACGCGACGTTAAACCCAATTTCACCTCACCTCACCTATAAATGCTGGATCCGCCCTTGATTTGAAACCGAATTGAGGCGGTGATTACAATACATTTTTTTATCTTCTGTGGCCTTAAAACATGTCCTCCTTCTCAAAAATACATTTTGTACACGAAAACGATCCCAACAATAAACGCCCTGAATACCCATCATGTTCGGACTACCGGGGTTCGAACTAGCGAGGTTTTGTTATGTACATCTGATCACCTTTGATCGTACAAACGAATACGTCATATATACACGTGTGTATTTCCATATAAATAAGGTGTGGTTGCTAGGTGATTCAAACGACAGGGATAGTTGTATGCATTAGGAATCAATAACCGATTTCCTCGTTAGTTGCTCACTCAACTGCACACGACATCCCAACACTGACGTGCCAGTCTAGTTGTTGGTTTGGCATGTCAATATCACCGCATTCTAGCCGCACGAGTCATCGACAGAGAAAAAACCCAACATATTTATTTTTCACAAGCCAAAAATGAGATAGTAGAAACAGCTACAATAAACATACTTGTATTTAAAAATGTATAATGCATTTGATTAAATGTACAAATAGACACACACGAGGCAATGTCTCAGCGATGCGTGTACTGAAATCAGTGATCATGGGAGTATTATTTCGTGGTGGAATGTTTTTTTCTAAAAAAGGGAAGAAAATGGATTCATATACAGATCCCGTTGTAATTTATTTGTTAGATATTATGACTGATTCAGACGCTTTGATTAAGATTAGTCGCGTTTCATCATCTTTGATCTACCTTTTTAACCTGTTAAATGAAAGTGCAGTAAGCTGTTCTATTCTATATTCATGACGAATGAAGGCCTCCCCCATGTTTATACTGGTGGTCAGTCAGCATATAATATATACAACAATATACAATATCAGTCTACGTGGATCTTTTTCAAGCAATTTGCATAAATAAATATACATAGCCAGGTGGGTATCTGTTGATGTTAAAAGCAAATTGTATTTGTTACGTGTAGGGTATAAATCTAGTAAGAATGTACTTCTCACGCAGTTTTATACCGGACACAAACCATAAAAAAGAATAGGTATTCATTTTCGGCGTAACCTTCATTTAAAAGAGTGCACAGCCTTTTATCTCTAGGAATATTGAGTACCTTCCAAGAAAGTATAATTTCTAGTTTTAGAATTGCTGAAAAGAAATGCGTGTCCGTCCTGTTCAAACGAACAAACCAGTCCTGTTCAAACGAACAAATTAATCTTGCCATTAGTTCCCCGATTGGATTGTTCTATTCCTTTCGGTGTGATTTTCTGCGTCGAATGATAACTGGTCACGTGTCACTCCAAATGTATGATATGAAACAGGGAGTCTAATTTATTAAAATCATACAGACAATCTGGTAAGGATAATTGTATATTTTGAGTTTTACAATGTGATGTCTCCTGGCATAAACACACAAGTATTGCTTTTATTGCTTCATTTCTGCACTTTTTGAAAATTAGTTTAAAATGTTATCCAAACATTCTGAGAAAGTAAATTTAGCATTCGTATTGCAACTTGAAACAAAGTTATATTTCTCTTCCTTTAAAACAGAACCCCTGAAAGCAGTGTGTACAAATGGTATCATACCCTAGGCTACGAGACGTTCAGTTCAGAATTAATTTGCCAGTCGGGTAATTAAATATAACGCACTTGACCAACACAGTACCTATAAAAATGAAATGAAAGCAAATACGCCGTACGTCAGCGAGAGTTAACTTGTCCTCGCAAAGTTATCGCCCTTCCTGTGACTTCGCCGAAAGGTGTCGCTTTCTTGAGAAGGAATGATGGGAAATGGCTATGTGGAGGAAGTGGACAGCTGATGTGATGTCTTATCATTAACCACTGGCATAATCTGCAATGGGTTAGAACGATGTAAGCATTTTCTTATTTTTCTGACATCCTTCTCTGATTCTGCAAAATCTTCAGCAAATACGTGTATGTGAATAATCGAAACGAGCCCAGTATTTACACCTGGTATGAGATTGAGAAACCATTTCGCCTGTCATCCGATTTTCTGAGTAGGTGTGGAACAATATTGATTTGTTTTCTCAGAGCGGATCGTAATTGTTTGTAAAAGCGTGAATTTTATGAAGACATATTATACCAATAATGTATATTCATTTAGGTCTATGTCGCTCAAAAATGCGTAAGGCCATGTTGACATTTCTTCAACATATTTTCGTTATAGGCTAAGCGTGATATCACGATCTATCCAGATCATCAAAAACATTGAGTTGTTTGTTCAGTAATTGATCTAAATCCGTCCTTCAGTGGTAAGACACAATTGTTTTCTGTTGAATACATACATCATGTACACTATTAGGGCATAACATAATTGAGACGATAAATATTCTTTAATTTTCCGAGACATTTGAGATCAGGCACAGGCCTTTCAGTTGATCAGTCTTGAAAATGGCACTGTATATTTAAATGTTCCAAGTGTAAATCTTGAATGTTTTTGTCAAGTTGTTTTGCGGTTGATATTTGTTGGCCAAAAACAAGTAAATGTCAGATGATGCCTTGGCAATAAAATATGTCTGCCGATTTTGTTGGAACACAAGATGTGTGACCTTTTCCCAAAGCTTCTGTAATGCTCTATAGTTTTACCAATCATATGCTTCATTGGTTTTCCTACTGAAACAATAGAAGCGGGCACGCCATAAACCTATGATTGTCAGTTCGAATCTTGGTTCACCCTGATTATGTTTCAAGGTTTGTCAGCACCGAACCCTTGCTCTTGGGTTTCACCAAAACGTCTCAGTGAAACATCTGAGACCTGCATCACTTTCCTCCCACATTAAGCTGTCATGCTGTGATATAACTGGAATAATGTTAAAACTAGCATTAAACCAAACTCACTCACCCAAACTCACACTGTCACCATTTAATTTCTAAAGTTTGAAATGTTATTTATTTACCATTGTTTACCATGTTCTGAAAAGTTCAGTTTTGTTTGCAAAAGTAAGAAATATCAACTAATTGATTCTGAAACGGCTTCATGAAATTGTGTGATTGTACTTATAATTGCTTATTGCAATTGGTCATATTCCTGAAATCATTGCATGATGCTTGCTAATAAGATATACCTACTGAACATTCTGAAGGTTTTAAGTCCAGTAGAATAACAGCACTGTGTAATTACCTAATGTAGCCTGTTTAGTTTGTGTAAGTGATCCCTGATGATCTGGTTTTGAATTCGTCTTCAGCAACCCAAGCTTGTCGTAATGGGCGACTAAAAGGATCAGATGGTCAGACTTGCTGACTTGGTTGATGCATGTCATCATATCTGAATTGCCCAGATCAATTCTCATGATGTCAATCACCGGATTGTCTGTCCCAGACTCGATTATTTACAGACCACCATCATATAGTTGGAATATGGCTGGGTGGAGTGTTAAACACAAACAAATTTTGTGCATGTCTTTTTTAGCTGTTCACAGATCTTTATATACTGATTGAATAAATGCATGAACTCAACTGATAAATTGCTATAAATTGTGATGCACAAAAGGGCCCACCTATCACTTATTATATCTTAGACATGTATTACTGTTGGGGGTTTTGTGACATGGGATACACTTTGGTTATCACATGTACATATGAAAATTAGAAGTCCCCTGAAACACTATTTGTGACCGACCAAGAGATAAGAGACCTCATGGGTGAAAAATTAAATTTTGACTTCTTATATATATTAAAAATACTGCAGTATCTTAGGACCCCAAAATGCAATTGATAAGCTTCAATTCATATTTATCATAGTTATTACAGAACGACATGGCATCAAACATTTGGACTCCTTTTCCCTTATGCCCCATGTTCAGACTTATGACTGTAATAATTGTAGTTTTTATATATAATGTCTGATTAATTGAATGAAAACATGTATGCTGAAATGCTTTGAAATAATGTTTTTATTACATAAGAACAAGCGAGAGAAAATATATTTTTTAACTGTCCACACAGATGGTGATTTATAGATTAGTCAACATCAAGTCAACATCAAACATCTTTCTTTACCATGTTTGTGACGTCACAGCACAATTCTCCTGGTGGGTCACATTTTATGTAGAATTAATAGAAGTAAGTCTACTCAGCACATTTTATCAGATCCATATCAATCATGTTGGTTGGTTGGTTTGTTGTTAAACGCCGCACTCAGCAACATTCCAGCTATATGACGGCGGTCTGTAAATAATCAAGTCTGGACCAGACAATCCAGTGATTAATATCTTTAGCTTCGATCCAGGCAAATGGGATCAATGACATGCATTAACCAAGTCAGGGAGCCTGACCACCCGATCCCATCAGTCGCCTTTTACGACAAGCATAGTCACCTTTTACGTCAAGCATGGGTTGCTGAAGACCTATTCTACCCCGGAATCTTCACGGGTCATCAATTATGTTTTTGACCTGAGACAAGTATAATAAACATCCAGAATGAAAATGACGAATGCTACTAAATAATCATACTTGATGTTGTCATTCTTTTTTCCAGAATCATGGCATGACACAAAACGGGTGACTGAAATATTGTAAAATGTCGAATTTCATTCCAATGGTCTCGGCATCACCGCCACCATTTGATGACCATTCCTTTGGTTATGATGATGATGATGACTTTGGCAACTTCACAGGGGCTGGAGATAGTCATGAATCCTCTCCAGACCCGCCAGAACTACCTCCTCCTATTGAAGCTGACCATACAGACTCCACTGACGTGGTCAAGGAAAATATAAAGAATAACAATCCTCTGTCTGAGAAACAAACTAATATAAGTACAAATGAAAATGCAAATGGTTTCCATCAGCAAGATGTTAATTCTACAAATACCTTAGTAAATGGGATTGAAGAAGAGTCTGATTTTGCAGATTTTGAGCAATATGATGATAATCCCGAAATAGATGTTAGTTCAAAGAAACCTCATATTGAGAACTTACCCATTCAAACATCTTGTGAGAATACTCCAATAACAATAAGTAATCATGAACTAAAGGACTTACATGAATCAAAAGACTCTCTCAGTGTACAAAGTGAAACCTCTCCTGACAATGGCAGCTGCGATTCTAGATCTCCCACCTGTGATGATAAAGATACAGTACCCACATCAGTTAAAGCTTCAAGAGACTCAACAACAGATTCAGGGATGTTCAGCACAGACATCTCCCCTGTGCCCAAGTCAGAAGATACGGCCGAGTTCTGTGATAAGAGCTGTGAATCTGACAATGATGATACATTCCCTGAATTGCCTAGAGACAAAATAGAATCCACAGATAATGATTCTGTTTGTGAATCTTGTGTACCAAAAGCTCCAGTAGATTCAGATGTGATAGCAAATGAAACAAGGACTAGTCTAGGGTTGGATACATGTTCCTCCACGGATGACTGTGTTAGTGAGGATAGTAGGGAAGAAAACTCATGCCTGAGTCATACCAAGGTAGAGGAGGAGGACACTATACACAACAAAGATGATCAAACAGTGTCCTGCTCATCTACTGACCAACAGGTCTCCCCTCTGGACAGTCGAGATAATTCTCAAGCTCTCTCTGAACAGAACGAAAAGTCTAGTCAGGATGTTTCCTTGGGCCATGTGGAGAGTTCTGGTCAGATTGAAGATGAGGATGATTGGGGTGACTTTGACTCTGCAGATGATGGTCTGCAGGGTGAGGACAGTGGTATGACTCAGGATCAGGCGTCGGAGAAGGAACAGAGTCAGGTAGATGAGGATTGTGTCAGTGGGACCAGTAGTGCAATTGCAGATGTACAATCAGAAGATGAATGTTTGGAGGCTATAGAAGAAGCTTTGAAAGATTCCACTAATACAGGGAGTGCTGATTTGGATGAACCAGATCAGTTGGAGGTGAATATAGATATTGATGCAGAAATTCCAAAGAGCACATCTGGTGTTTCTATTGAAAAAGATGAAACAAGTGATAGTTCTCAGCTTCAGGCAGACTCTGAACCATCCCAGGTTGAATGTTGTGATGTGATAGATGAAAGGACGGAAAGTGATATCGATTCAAAGGAACACAATGAGTTCACTGAAGAAAATGTTTGTACTGATGACATTTCAGTACCATGTGATACTCAGGTGGAGGAATCTGATGGTTTTGTGGCCGCGGAGGATGGGTGGAATGCATTTGGTGAGTTCTCTGACACTGCTGATGGTGATGACAACTGGGCAAATTTCCAATCTACTTCACATGATCCCACTCCAGGGGAACCCAAACCAATGGAGGATGAAGACTTCGGTGACTTTAACACAGCACAGGATTCCAAGAAAGAAGAGGAGGGTGACTTTGGTGGTTTTACCTCAGTAAGTGATAAAGACACTGCAGATGCTGATGGTGATTGGGCTAACTTTGAGGATTGCAAGTCTACAGCAAACCAGACATCACAGATTCCATCTAAACTGCCAGTTCCTGATACAACTGCCTCACTTTCAGCTCCACATTCCAAGGTAGAAATATGCGTCAGTGGGTTTAATGTTAACATCTTTGGTAATCATGATGAACAAAACTGTCCAAATGCACACATATAGGTATTTATTTTAACTGTTTAAAATGTAGCCATTTGGTTTCTTCATGACTTGAAACAAGTTTATTATTATACTGTACAAAATGTGGCAATCAGATTGTCATTAGTTTCAGAATATTAAGGTCTTTTGCTACTTGTCAATTGGTATTTACAGGTTCTTTGAACCTGTTCACTTGGATGGATAAACTCAACACAAGGTATTTTTTATGTATGTTTTTCAAAGCAGGTGTCTTCAGAGAAGCTAGATCACATCTTGTCCTCATGTTTCCCGTCCTTGGACTCCGGAGAGACTGAGACCTGCCCATCTCAGCTGGAGGTTCTCATCTCGGCTCAACCAGACAAGGGAACAGTCTCCATGCACATATCCAAAACCACTACAGGGTATGGCAGATCTAATCCTTCAAGTACATAGCCGGTCAAAATGCTGTTCAGAATATATGAAATAATTTGTATTGAGTACATGCATGCTGCATTGTCACATTTTTCCCACAGTAATTACATTTGGTTTGAAAGGAAAGCTTTGTGTTGAGACCAGTCTACTGCCATCCTCACTTATACAGTGTAGTATATCTCCATTCTATTGCAGTGATTATGATTAGTATCCTAATGTGTATCCAGTGCTGTAGCCAGCCGGGGGGCAGGGAGGGCATTAAATGGAATATTGCTGAAAGTGGCGTAAAACCATACTCACTCACCTGAACCAATTCTTTACTACACCTTCACCTTGAGCCCCATTTAAAGCACATACCTGTACAATGAGAGGACACAAAGAGTGACATACATTCTGTGCCAGGTAAGAGATATGGCGGGGTTGACGTCACTTCCAAAATGGTGAATGGGTCTCAGGTATATATGGTAATAGGATGGAGATATAATACACTGGATAGTGTATAATAACTGATGATGATGTGCTACCAGTCCTACATTGACCTACAAACTCCCACTTGATGTTTGTGCGACTTGCCTCATTCCAGGAAAGCAAGAGGGCCTGGTGTGGTGTGGCATTCCCTCCGTGATCTGGACAAAACAAGTGCCCTTGTCTACCAGTGGACGTCCTCAACTGCTAACAAGCACATGTTTAAAACCCTGCGCATTGATACACAAAATATTGTGAGACTTTATTTAACCTATTTACATTCTTTGGTATGATTAAGCATGTTAAGTAATCATAATTATGAAACATCTGTAGACATAGTAATCATGTTTATGCTTGTTAAAAAAGTTTTCCTAGTTACTCGTGGCCATTAAGTCCTAGTTCCCATATGTCTGTGTCTTGCACCTGCCATGATGATGAACAAAGCTACTTCTATTAAGTAAAATAGCTACAACAGAAAAATATACTCTGTAAAGTTGTATCCCTTGAATAATACTAACACATGTTGATGATCTTCCTCTTTTTATTATGACGTAATAAAATCATTTAATATACATAAATGAAAAACAGCAGATAGTTCCGAATGCAAATAAAAAAGTCAGATAAAACCTTAAATGTTTTCAGCTCATTGGTCACAAGAAACAATCTGTGCCAATATTTGCATCCAATATTGGTTTACTTGAGCCAATCAGGGGCCCAGTAGATGCAAAACCACTGCAGCCCAAACTGAACCCAACACTTGTTGATCCTGACAAGGCTGACGACAACGCTGGGGGAGCCCAGGTGAGATAACGAGCTTCTGTTTGTCTCTGTGTGTATACATGGTATAGGTGCTTCATGTGGTGTCTTTCTCTTATTAATCTCTGCTCTCTTGTCAGTTGTTTACACTTGTTCTTTGTCTCAGTTCACAAATTAAAACTGAAGCCCATTGTTGAAAACTGTAAGAACTTGCATCAATACTGCATACCTTTTGTGTTTTGACCCAAACAAGGAATGACTACTTATTACTTTTTTGAATTTATAGGATTTGGTGATGGGTAGATATAGTCATTTGTTGCTTGTGTAGTGTCTGTGTTTAGAAGGTTAATTTGATGAGTTATTTATTTGGTAAAATAGGTGTGATTTTTAATGAGGTTTATGATATAAGTAGGTTTTTGATATTTAAACAATATCATTCCAAGTTTGGTTATCAGCACTTTAACAGTAAGAATAGTTCAGATATCGTACCTATATGTACATCACTCAGATCTGGATTGGTTTGGTTTAAGCTACTTTACATCAGCTCTGATAGTGGAGTGTACATTATTTTTTTGGTTTCTTTAATTAAATAGAAATTTATTTAATATTTTGGGGATTTATTTTATAATTGTATTGGTACTGGTAGCATGAATTTTAATAAACTTTGAATGGAAAACCATAATTGCATCATTTGAGCTTACTATGCATGGAGCCTAACAAAATACATGCTGCTCAGGCTGAAACTTGTGCTAGTGCTTGTCAGTCGTTAGGATTAGAAATGAGTGATGGACAAGCTGAAACTAGTGAAAGGAAGTGGGGGTTGGGGGTGTGTAGGAGTTGTTGGGTGTGTGTGGGAGAACTCCCATTGTTTTATAACTTCATTAGACAGAGCTCCAGATAAGCTTTTGGTGTTGTGGGTATTTTACCCATGCATTTTAAAATCATTGGGTATTAGTAATTCTACCTGTGTATTCAAATTTCTGTTACCCATTAGTTTTTACACATGTTGGTATTTAAGTTAAATATTTAAAAACACTATTTATCTAGTCCCTGCAAACTGGTGTCTAGTGGGTTCGAGAGCTTTATAGGACTCAAAAATACCACGATACTTCCACAAGAAAGTGTGATGGCAAATGATCATGATGTAACTGTCATCATGGAGTTTTGCAAGGTTGACGGAATGCCCCTTTATAATTTCAAAATAAGTTGCTGATTTGCTAATCGAATACGCAGGGTTACTTCACAATATTTTGATGATATGCACAAGTTTTATTTTTGTAGCGTATCTGTAATGTTCGTTGCGTATTTGATACGCTTGGATTATATTTTACTGTGTATTTCTGCATTTCTGATGTGTATTTCACGCAGATACGCAGCCTATCTGGAGCTCTGATTAGATGATTACTTTTGAGGGTGAAGCATTAGGGCTTGTTGGGAGTGACTCACGACTTGGGATCTTCATTTATGAAATATGATTTTACGTTGGTGTAAGGGTGTTAATGAATTTTATCATTTGTTTGTCTTTCCATCTTTTACCTCTTCCTACGACTCTAAAAACACAGTGACTTAATAAATAATTGTATATATTTGTATCTTCCAAACTGGATTTGTATCTCTCGGGCTTTCTTATCATGCTTATCAGTACAAATTTGTAGTTTTCATAATATAATGAACTTAAATATTGTTAGGTGTTTCTTGAACTTTTCAAATAGAGAATTCTATATTTGACAGCTTGTGTTTACTTTTGGGGTATTGTCTTGATTTTGGAAATATGATACTAAGCAGTGCTAGGCGTAGAATAGTGTTTAAGTCAAGTATATGCTGAGTTTTTAAGCGGGAAATTCTGTCTGAGGATATTAAAGTATACAGCAATGCAAAATTTTTGTTAGTCTAAACATATTTTGTGTGGTATACTCCGAGTTAACATGAGTTGTTACTTCCCCTGTTTGCAGGAGCTTCCTCCTGTAGAGTTTGACTGGGATAATAGCGGACTTACAAACCCGCTGACAGGTAGGCCCGCCTTTTCTCATTCTCATGAGGACTCGGTCTTGGCTACAAGTGGCATGCACAGCTAATTTTGATTCCTTTATTTTTCGTTATTTTGGACTTGAGTTTGGGGCATTTTCGATATTTGCTAATTCAGCAGGTTACTCATGTTAAGAGCAAGTATGTTCTGAACAGTTGCAGTGAAGATGAACAATGTCTTTTCAAAGCATGAACTTTGTTGATATAGTGCTCTTTGTACTAATATGAATTGAAATTTATTCTGATTGATGCATGAACTGGCTGAAGCATCTACTTCACCTGCTCATTGAATGTGACCTTTTATTTTACCGATCCTTTGTAAAATGTATGCTATATTGTGTAAAGTTGGATTTACCTGTGCATTTTGATGATTGTAGATTTAACCCTTTTTGTTTTTGTGGTTTGAAGTTCTGAGTATACATTCTGTGACATATTCTTCTGCTCAGTTATGGTGTGTACACATGCATCAGCAACACCATACCAAATAAGGCCAGTTACCATGGTTACACTGCAGAAATAAGGGCCAATAACCCTCCTTCTTAAACTTAAAGAAACACTTTTTTCTTTCCTGATATTTACAGCAGAAGAAAGGTCCAAGATGAAAGCAGTTAATGGCGAGAACCCAGTTCAACCAATAAACAGTAGCATGTGTAGGTTTGCCTTGACACTATCCAGACACTACCGTCTTTACATTTTCCATCTTATATATTGCAATGCTTTCATTAACAACTGCAACTGAAATGTATGACTTTTCATGTTTGTATTCTGAACAGTTCTTGGGGAGGTTTGAAATCCATATTTGAGACTCAGAACTTATTTCTAGAATTTTCATATTGAATGCGCTAAGTGTTTTGCATTGAATGGAAAGTTTTGTATTGTGAAGTAGAGTGTACTTATGTGTTGCGATGTAGGTTTTACAATGGCACCTTATGACATGAGTCATTTATCAGGTAACAACTTCTGTTGTACATGTTCTAGGTCCAGACGTCATGAGTGTGTCTGGGGCGGTCGGGTAGCCTAGTGGTTAAAGCGTTCGCTCGTCACGCCGAAGACCCTGGTTCGATTCCCGACATGGGTCCAATGTGTGGAGCCCTTTTCTGGTGTCCCCCGCCGTGATATTGCTGGAATATTGCTAAAAGCGGCGTAAAACCAAACTCACTCACTCACTCATGAGTGTGTCTTAGTGTAATTAATGTAATCAGTCATTGTGAGATTGATCTATAAATTAAAACATGAGATAGGTAAAGTGTTTAAAACTAGTCCCTAGTCTTACCTATACTTTGAAATATTTTCTGTGTAAATTCTGGGCCCATATTGGTTTTCAATTTCCCCTGCCGGTCAATCTAAGTATTGATCAAGTCGGGTGGAGCAGTGATTGTTCATTGACTACATTTGGATGTGGGATCTTCTCAGAAAAACAGTTTTCAACTAACACAGCTCATATATGCCATATCATCATTCTGTAAGTTCTAAATTGTATAAGTCTGTGGTCTCACTGCGAACCAGGGAATTAAACACTCTCTGTTGACACTTCACACATTACTTTCTAAGGATGCTTGTTCATGAGAAACATGAAGGCAAGAAAAGGTTTATGCTTACTAGTGTCAGGAGATGTTTGTGTTATCAATGAATGCAATTCATTTGAGATAGAAAACATGATGTTATCTCTAGTGACCTTTTGGGCGGTCGGGTAGCCCTGTGGTCAAAGCGTTCGCTCGTCTAGCCGAAGACCCGGGTTCGATTCCCGACATGGGTACAATGTGTGAAGCCCATTTCTGGTGTCCCCCGCCGTGATATTGCTGGAATATTGCTAAAAGCGGTGGAAAACCATACTCACTCACTCACTCTAGTGACCTTTGATTTATTCAGTTATCTCCTGTGGGGATTTCAGGGCAGAATAAGTCCCTTGTTTATTACGCTTTTGAAAGAGCTGACAAACATGAATAAGAGGGGGTTACTCGTTAGCTGCTGAGGTTGAATAATGCTTGTATGGGTGACAGGGAAGATGTTGATTGTCATTGTGCACATGGATCAGTGCTTATACTATCAACCACTTGTTTGTCTGGTTCAGACTCTATCACTCAACGGGGCGGTCGGGTAGCCTAGTGGTTAAAGCTTTCGCTTGTCACGCCGAAGACCTGGGTTCGATTCCCAACATGGGTACAATGTGTGAAACCCATTTCTGGTGTCTCCCGCCGTAATATTGCTGGAATATTGCTAAAAGTGGCGTAAAACCATACTCAATCACTCAATCACTCAACAGGCCACTGTGATATGACAAGGCAGATTTCTCTGTAATACCCCATTCATTCATATTCAGTAATCATACATCAGTTTTGTTGAATGCATGACAAATGGTCGCTATGTCTTTCAAAGTGGGAGGGTCTCAAATATGGCTTTGAGAACTTTCAGTCAGGTAGCTGTCTAGAGGAATAACATTGAAAAGTCTGCAGTTTTGGATTCTATCGACATCCTCTCCTAGCCTTTTGCATGAGTAGCTAAATAAGAGATTGTTGTTTGGCTACGGGAATATTAACATGATTTCTACTTGGGAATATATCCTTATAATGCTTTTAAACTCTTAATTCACATCATAATTAACATGCTCTGTATGTCAAGTATAATATATGTATGGCATACCAACTTACATGATGTGCTTTTCCAGGTAAAGGATGTATAATTACAACATTGGAAGTTTTTTCATGTTTCTTAATATGTGTCACAACTGTTGCTTGAATCCGAATGGACATGATAAGTGTCCTTCCACTAGTTATACACAATGTAACCTCTCTCATTTGTCATACTGGTAAATCTATCATCATGATCATCATTCAAAAATTAGAATGTTTGAGACTAGCTTTCACTCATCACAATGAAGCCGCCACACTTTGTTCCGAGCAGGGATTTACCTAGGTCTTTGTATTTACAAGTCCTGGGGACTCTCAAATGTTAGGGGTCTCAGAGAATAAAATGGGTGTCCCAGGGCAACCACTGTACCAGCAGCAAATAAAATACAAAGTCTGTGTGATGCCTTATTCTTATTTAATAATGGGATTTCCTTGTGTGAATCAAAATTTAGAGAGTGAGTGATCTGATATGGACTTTCCAAACATATTTCTGATATTTAATCATCAGAACAGAAGTATCAGATAAATCAAAATTTACGTGTTTCAGCCAATCAAACATGCATACTCTGTGCATCCTAAGGGACTCCCACTAACTCACTGTGGATATTATCTGTGTCAGTACTTAACTATTTTTCGTATTGGATGCAATATTGTGCATCTGGTAAAATGGTGCAAACATGCAACTGGGAAGCCCATTGTTGTTGTGATAACCAGAATAACGGTACTGCCACAAGCTGTGTGAAATGTCACTGGTGATCACCCACTCACTTGCTCACTCACTCACTCACTCTCCTTGATCTGGCCATGCTGGCTGTTGTGAGGGACATCCAGTCTTATCCTTATACAACACATATATTATATTATATGCTAGGATCCCCTAGATGGGTTTGTCTAGTGGTAGAGACAGGCAATAGCTTTCATAGATGTGTTTGCTTGAATGCTGATTTGGTTTGACCATCTTGAAAAAGCAAATAGTTTTATGATGATTTTGTCTTAATGCTCTTTGAATGTTTCCATATGATCAATTTTGTAGACAGGTTTAAGTAGCTGGCGCATGAACTAATCAAAATGTGGCCTAGGTTACACTATTTATCACTTTATGATGGCATGCAGCCCGGTCCATGGGTATTCCTGGTCAGAATTGGTCTCTAGAAATCTATGCTTGTCTTCAGAGGCAATTTTTTGTTGTCGGGCTTGGTGGAGTGGGAATCATCATATCCTAGCAACATGGATTGTTGCTCAAATCAGTTTCTGTATTGTTTGGTCCAGACTCAATTGTATACAGGCTACCTTCAGCTCATGGGATTCAGTGTTTTAGTGGGGCGGTTGGGTAGACTCGTGGTTAAAGCGTTAGCTCATCCTGCTGAAGACCCGGGTTCGATTCCCGACTTTGGTACAATGTGTGAAGCCCATTTCTGGTGTCCCCCGCCGTGATATTGCTGGAATATTGCTAAAAAGCCGCGTAAAACCATACTCACTCACTCACTCACTCACTTTTAGTTGGTCCCAACAACCTATGATAGTCGTAAATGGTGACTTAACACTCTGAAGAACTGTTTCTTTAAGAACAGTATAATATAACACTCGCAGACATAATTGTCGCCCACCTAATCATGTTAATAGAGAAAGTGTTAGCTTACAACGAAATGTCAGTAGTCTTTCCTAGACTCATACCTGCAGACTTATGTTAATTTCCAACACTGAAGATATATTGAATGAGTTAATATTAGTGGGTGCAGTGACGATGTTAGTCATATCAAATATTTATTCATCTTATTTATGTTTTATATATTTTGTGGAATTGGGAAGCATGATTATAAAGATGTCTTGGGTGGCTGGTCTCCTCCATCAACCTATACACTGTTTCTGTTTTAATATGAAGTTAGGTGTTTAGTGGACCTTTCGTAAACATGTTGTATGATGTAAAACTGTTTCGTGGAGATTGTTTATTAGAAATGGCTGAAACAAGAACTATGAGTTAAAAACCCTAGTATTTTGTAATGTATTCTGCCTGACTGCACTTGGGATATATTTGTTTCTGATATACTGTTTTCTAATCTTGTAATACGTATGCTCCCCTGTAGTCAGGGACAGATACCATGAGTTAAATCCAATCAGAACACACGTCTTTTGAAATTTATGCCACATAACTAGATTCAGGAGAAAGCTTGTAGTCTTTCCAGATATCCAATAGTCTTGGGTCAATCGGGTATTTTAAACAACAAAGGTTGAATGATCCCACTTGTATACCTGTTGAATACCAAGCAGCTTTGTGCTTCTGAAAACGCCTTCTATGCATGTGTGTGTTGTGTGTGTATTTTTATGCGAACTGTTTTCTTATATCTCTGTTCTGTCACAAGTCCTGTCTGCTTACATAACCTTGCACCGTCTGTATCTGCTGTGTGTCTCAATAATGTTAACTATTTCTGTTGATGTGAACAAGTTTTTTGATTCCTTTAAATTTTCTGTTAATATGCTTTGCATGCTAAATAGTCTTTGAAGTTGTTAAGGGATCGTGGTATATTTTCATCAACATTTCTTCCATAAATGTTGGTTTCAATAGGCAAGACTGGTTTTAATGTAAGTTGTGAATGTTCGTTTCTATTGCTACTTTCCAGCAAAGACGCTAGATTTGGATTTTCTGTCAGTGCAAGAGACAGAGAATGTGAACAAGAACACAGGTGAGTTACCTCCCTTTAAGCTCATGTTTGTGAACTCCTCAGCGTGTGACACCTTCGTTGTCCTCCCGGTATCATTGCTGCCACCTGTGTGCAAGCAGCCATTACAAGAATCTTGAACAAAGTCTTGCTAACCCCAGATGTAATGCAGAGCTACAGATAAGCAGCGTATTTGCGTAAATTATATGAAAAACTTCAATGTATAAAAACAGCTCGCGTAAATACCCAGTGAAGCTTTTTCAGCATGCGTACAAAGGAGTTAATTTCGGAAACTCTATTACGAGCTAATTTACTTTCCAAGTCAAGCCTATATATTTAGAACAGTTATCATGGTTATATACAACTTAAACATCATATAATTTTTTGAAAATCTTACAACTTATTTTGGGAAAAAAACAATAGAGTTATGAATAGATGAGTGAAGAAATATTGGTTACCCAATAAAAAATGTAATAACCCAATTAGAATAGTAACCCTCAAGTAAAAACTCAATTGCTCAAAAAGTTATCTGGAGCTTTGGTAATGACATTTATATTTTTGTGTATGTCTTTGGGAAGAATGTTTGATATTACGACAGTTAACTCTTGTTTGTGGCATAACAGTCAGTTTTGAGTTCAACTCCATGCATGGTTGTGATGCCTAAAACAGGGAAAGCTGTGATTGGTGGCATTGATAGTGTAGGGAGCTCCACGAATGAACTATTGCTGTGAGGAGCTTGCCATGTTTTGTAAACTAAGACCAACCAATGTATATTCTTGTTTAGCACATTAATATCGATCACTACATCCCAAGAGGCAGAATTATAAAACCTCTTTCAAATAAACATTTATCAAACAAAAATACAGGCGAATGCTTTTTTTAGAAAGTTTTTTTTTTCAATCAAAAACAGCATTTATATATTTTGGTAAATTTTGACAAATTTAAGGAAACAAATTCACCTGGCCATAGATATTATATCTCACTTAAAATTAAGTTATAATGTGCTGATACCTTCTGTCACTACCACTGAATATCTACAACCAAAACTTGTCATGTAATCAGTCTTGTGGTTGAACAATAAATCCTGTTGTCAGAAGTTTCACTTACAGTAGTCCTAACCAGACAGGGGGCACAAGTGGCCCAGTCGTCTAAGGCGCCGCGATTCGCTGTGCAGAGTTGCGTCCCCTGGACACGCCAGAAACCTATGTTTGTGGGTTCGAATCCCGGTTCACACTGATTATGTTTCTAGGTTTGTCAGCACCATACCCTTGCTCGAGGGTTTCACCAAAGTGGTAAACGTCTGAGACCTGCATCACTTCGGGCTTTCCTCCCACATCAAGCTGACATGCCGTGATATAACTGGAATACTGTTAAAAGCGGCGTTAAACCCAACTCACTCACTCACTCACTCCTAACCAGACATTTCAGCATGTGGACATCACAACATTTCTCTGGACCACCCAGCTTCCTTGAAACCCAGCTGCAAATATTCCACCACTGACTTCACGTGAAGGGGTGAAGCTGGGGGTTACTTTTAGGGATGTAATAATGAAACACAAGGCCATGATAGTTATATGTACATACTATCTTGATAAGTGGTGTTCAGGTAGCCTAGTGGTTAAAGTGTTCGCTTGTCACGTCGACGACCTGGGTTCGATTCTCAACATGGGTACAAAGCGGCATAAAAACATACTCACTCCCTCACTCACTATCTTGATACTAAATTTGATGAGGTCCATACATGATATGAATATTAGGATACACATTAACTTGAGCTGAAAGTTGTCCCATGTGTAGGAATAAAGCCAGAATTCACATATCTACCTGGATTACAAGGAATACCTAGTAGTCCGTAGAACAGACAGAAAACCTGTCCTGTTATTTATTGTTCAGTGATATAACTGCCTTTAATTATATGTGCAACAGTCTAGTCCAAAGTCAGAGCCAAGTAACTTTCGTTCGGTCTTACTAGTAAGCTCAGCTGATGATTGTCCATAAATTAACAGTAAAATCTACTGAAAATGATCCTAAGAACCATGTTTGGGCAAATGCACTCAAACGTTTTGGGCACAGACTGTATGTAGTGCTAGGAATTAAGGGTTCCTTGTGGTTTTCTGCTATAGCATCTGCAGTTTTGATATAAGGACTTCAAATCTTTAACATGTTTTAAGTATTAACATCAGCATGATTGGGAATATGACAAAAACTACATGTATTGACTGTCGCTAACACTTCCTGTACTTACCATGATCCATCTATCCATGACTAACCATATACTAACTCCTCCGTGGCTAACCATGAGCTACTCCTCCATGACTATCCATGTGCTAACACCATCTACCTGCTTTCTCCCACCCTGCCTTCAAGATGAATGGGACTGGGGTAAGACGATCCAGCTGTGTTCTAGTTAGCCCTCCTTACACTTGTGATAGAAGACTGTTGTGTGTGTTGCTATTGATTGTGAGCTATCACTGTTGGCATTTTTTAATTCAGTGTCCACTCTTTTTATTCATCTGCTTAGGAACAGCATCACAAAGCTTAGTCATACCAAATAACCTGTATCATTTTCTATATCTTCCTATGTTTGCATGTACATTGTCATGTCACTGGAGCTACGCAGAGTTGCATCCCTTGGGCATGCCAGAAATCCATGATTTGGGGTTCGAATCCCGGTTCGCCCCGATTATGATTCTAGGTTTGTCAGCACCATAACCATACATATGGGTTTAACCATTGTGGTAAATATCCAATACCTGCATCACTTTGGGCTTTCCTCCCACGCCGTGATATATCTGGAATACTGTTCAAAGCGGTGTTAAACACAACTTCAGCACTTAGGATTAAGGCAATATCAAATTGATACGTTCTACATATTCTTTTCCCCAAGTAATGAATAGGGAATGAATGACAGTACCACGATCATGGTTATAGTCATTCTCATTCAAATCAAATCTGTGGACATCCCAATACGGGTCCACAAAAACAATTCTATAATACTATAAATATGAAATATGACTAATCATGCTAATGGTTGTCACTGTTTTAGGTTATTGAAATATTCAAATATTTGTACTGTTCCTGGTATGGATGGTAAATATTCTTTTTATTCTTGTTTGATAATGCCTCTAGTTGATGAGCATAAGGATTTTTTGTGGGTGTTCTTAAGAGGCCGATTTTCAACCCTAGTCTGCATCAAGTACTGTAAAAAATCCCCATTTTTAATACCAAACTTCCCATTATAGGTTTTCTAATGTTTTATCTTTGCGAAGGTGTCTTTTTGCGAAGGTGTCGTGCATTTCACTGATTTTGTATTTCACATGACCAGTAAACATGGTAAAGGGAAATAGGCTTAATGTTTGATACCAAATAAGCTTCTTTTTTCTTCTTTTACATTGTTACTTCACTCCTGAATGCAATGGTAAAATACCTCTGAATTTAAGAAAGTAATAACATTTAAAAGTTACAAATATTGTGTTTCAAAATTGACTTCCACAGGCATTTTGTGAGAAATCCTAGATAAACCCTGAGCTAGTCATTACATTTGGACCCATTACCTTTAGCCTATGCGAATCATAATGTATGCCGGTATATATAAACCAGTATTCTCTGAAGTTAATATGGTTACCATCTGATACCAGCTTTGTGGACTGCTTTACTTCAGTGACTCAGTAATGATGGCAGAGTCTCTTCATCTCTTCCTGCATGTCAGGGGGCGGTGGGGTAGCCTTGTGGTTAAAGCATTCGCTCATTAGCTGACGACCTGGGTTTGATTCCCCCTACAATGTGTGAAGCCCATTTCTGGTGTCTCCCGCCGTGATATTGCTGGAATATTGCTAAAAGCGGCATAAAACCATACTCACTCACTCTTGCATGTCAGTAACTGGTTCTGTATCGTGAGTATGCAGTGGACTTATTTTGATACAGGTGCATGTTTGTGTTTGTCAGTTTGTGCTTTGTTGTTCAGGGTCCCATCCACCCCTGATTATCCAGTGTGTAAAATCTCTATCTTCATTCTATAATGTGAAACAGAGCCTGGACCCATTTGCTGCCATAGCTTCGTTTTGAGTTTGATTTGAATGAGTGCTGTCCAATCATTTCAAACTCATGTGCATGGAGTGATTTGAAATAATATGAAACAGTGGTAGCAGATGGGTTCAGTGTGTCAATGAAAAGAACAATGGAGAAAGAATACACTGGACGATCAAGGTTGAGTACCATCCTCTGTGCTGTGAAAGTTATGTTCTTTGAAACTAATTATTAATGCATGAATTTAATGTTTGGAGTCATTCATTACCATCAAAATGATAGTTAATGTGAGGAACCCATAAGCATGAAATACCACAATCAGTTTTGAAACAAATTCAGATTGAAATAATTTCAATGTATAATAAAGAATCAATAGTCACTTCACCCCAATATTTCAAATGGAGATGTTCTGTTTTCTTAGTATTGATCTTGCATCACAAGTTTTACAAGTGTTCATGGTCATATCTGGCAAATGGGACAAGTTCTACCAGTTTTATTGATATGGACAGTTTTGAATGCTGCTCTCTGTGTTTCAGTGTTTCAATCAGAGATCCTGGATGCACCCCGGTCATCGGTGAAGTCCCTGCCTCCGCTGGAAGATGTCCTGAAGAACATGAAGGTGACAACCACCACCAGGCGGCGCCGGGAGGAGCATCTCTCAGAAGAGGCGGGACGGATAATAGACTCACTGCCTATCCTCTCCTTCATGACGTCTAAAGTTCTCATGTTCCCTCTTAGACAGGCTGATGATTAGTTTATAGCTTGTAGGTAGGGATTCTTTAGTACTGGTACACCAACAACAGCCCCCGAGATCACAGAGCGTTCCTGTACATCATGTTAAGTTCACCACCCATCTGTTACTGGGAGCCCTTGTACAAAGTGATCTTAGCGCTAAGGTGATTGTAACTCCCATACCTTAACATAGACTTGGGACGATCATAGCTCTAAGGTGGTTTTGTGCAACCGCACCCTGGTATCTAACCAATCATCAGGACAGGGCCCTGTTCCACAAAGCGATCTTAGCAGTAAGATGATCGTAACTGCCATACTTAAACATAGGCTTACAACAGTCTTAGCACTAAGATCACTTTGTGGAATGGGTCCCTGGGCCAGTTTCACAAAAATATCAAAGGGCTATGACTGTCAAAAGCCTATGTGAAAGTATGGGAGTTACAATTGTGTAATAGGGGAACAAGGCCTTGGCCCACTTGCACAAAGCGATCTTAGAGCTAAGATGATCGTAACTCCAATGCTATAACATAGGCTTACAATAGTCGTAGCGCTAAGATCACTTTGTGCAAGTGGGCCCTGATGACATTTTGTATGCATATACTAAGATGAGACAGTTCATGGTTGCAGTTTCAGACAAGTTTCCAATTCTTGCTCTATGTGGGCCCTTGTGTTTGTTGCTGTCTCAATCTCATTAAAATTCAATATTTTCTCTAATTAGATACCTCTCTCTGTTAAGATCTGACAAACCCTCCTCCATTGGTTACTTTCAGTGAACTTCCTTATCAGCCAGTGAATGTGGAGGCGTCTTGGTTTCCGCCAGTGAAGTATTCAGAATAGAATATCTGAAAAAAAGTTTGCTCAGGTTCATCTGGCATAACCACATGGGAATGTGGTTCAGATCTTGAGAGAATGGGATAAATGGAATCTAAGTAAGGATAAGATATATGGATGAACAACTTCAGGAGCGATGTTTCGATGTAGGTTCCAACACCGTTATCAAGCAAGTGCTTAATGGAATGCTTGCTTGATAACGGTGTTAGAACCTACATCGAAACATCGCTCCTAATTGTAATAAAGTTGTTCATCCGTATGTCTAATCCTTACTTTGTACTCCAACTTCTAGATGCTTCTCAAAGAGGTTCTATGGAATCTGATGAAATGTCTGATTTTAATGAGATTGGTCTCTGCCTATTCAAGTGGGCTGGCCCTGTTGGTTTACCAGTAATGTCTATTCATTGAAGTAATCATCGATCTTATTCTTTCACAGTCTTGTGTATTAAGTAATGTCATGTACAATTGAGGTCATGTACATCAGAGGCAATAACAGTTGCTTAGTTTTGGTGGAATTTGTTCTGTAAACCCTACAATTGTAGATTGCACTGATCATTTAAAGCACACTCTGCTACATCAGGTTTGTCACTCATGGAATGCTGTAGTTTTGTGGCCATGAACTTTGTCATATTCATATCAATATGCACTTAAAGCATTTAGGCAACCAGCTTTCAGTTTGAACTGGCAAAGACAATACTGTTGGCTATTACATTACATTGTCTCTGTGGATTGGTTTTGGTTGATCAGTGATGCTACCCGTATGATCATGATAGTAGGGACTTGGTGTATGTTAAAGATTGACTGTATATTTTTGTTTCACTGACGCACAATTTCATGTATTAGTGTCAGCTAATATCTGTTACTTATGAAGTCACCTTAATGATGTTCAATTTGATTGTTCTTAAATTTTTTAATAGTCTTGCAACCACTACAAATAAATTGTATAGAAGAAACTCGTAAACAAACCGGATACAGATTTTATAGGGTGTGTATAACATGAACTATAATACTGTCACCATAGCCATTGGTAGCAATGCTGCATATTATCCATTTGTGTCCACATACATTAACAGGTTTTTTGACTCGGTCAATCTGTCGTTAATCATGGAAAGTGGTGATTTTGTGTATTCAAATAATTGAGCCTGCTCCTAAATTATCCTCCTTGTTAGATGACCCTTGGAGTTAAGTACAGGTTTGTTGGTTGACACTTGAAGAGTAAATTAGGGGTAGTAGTTGGCATTCACGTGTCTCGATGAGAATACAGTTTGGACTGTCCCTGGTTGTCCAGCATATCATGATGTCCAATGATTACATACCCTGGACCCATACACAGCCAAAGCTTAGTTGCTTCATCTCATATAGCGCTGACTTAGTACAGAGCTGTTTCTGAGGAGCTTGAACACAACCAATTACAATGAAACCTAATGAAAGTTTGGCATAGATGTATATTCAAAATAGAGGCCTTGTTAAAGCCAACCCCTATTATCTTTCTCAAAAGGATTTTACTACGAATCAGAATGAACTTCAAGCTGGAAAAGATGTTTTCTTGAGTTTTAAGACTGGGGAAAGGAAGTCCTTTAACTACTTGGCATTCAGTTTTATTTGAGACTGAACATAGTAACATGAGTCGACATCGTTGCTCACCTAGACATAATTAATGTAAACAATATCATGTAATTTCATTTGATGGTTACTCTTCTGGTTGTGTCATTTCAGCTGGACTAAAAGTCAAGCTTTGGTGGTGATGGGTCTTGAATATTTATCATTATTTAATGGAGATATGATATGCGGGATAATCGAGGATGGGGTTTGATCCCTTATGATGGTATTCCCTGGTGTGATATTGCAGGAATATTGCTAAAAGCGGTGTAAAACCCTACTTACTCACTGATACACATGATTAAGGCTGTAACAATTCGAAAGAACGAGGATAGTATGATTGTCTTATGCCGTTCAACATGTTACACTTAAGCATGGTACGTGTGTCCATGAGGAGATATTAGCCTTTTGTATCATCAATGAGAAGTGCTACAGACCAAATCCAACAAATAATCTTTATTCTGTTAAACAGATAACTACTCAATCTGTCTAGTTGAAAAAAACCAACACATTAATTCTCATACCAACGAACCTCCTTATGTGACATATAATTCTTTGTTTAGATGCAATTTTTCATTATGATATCTGTATCATGACACCACAATAATTCATTGAATCTTTGCCATGTTTACAACAGATGCATTAATCATTCAAATATAGAAGTGGAAAGTGTCAGTATTTTAGAAATAGCCATGGTTGAAGCATGTAAGTGGGAACATAGTCAATATTTCACTAGGTTTATTTGTGCTGTGGGAGTGCTTCTTTCGAAATGACACTGATACAAAAAAGTAATTTTTGCTTTAGGACAAGCCTACATTTTTAAAGTTTGGTCCAAACAATGATTGCTTTGTTGAACTCTGTCCAACCAGTTTCCACTAGATCTTCCTTCTCTACTAAAGTCATGGACCATTGAGTTGTCTTCATAGCAGGGGTCGGTTTAACTGCTGGCCTGTTGTCCCGTGGCCAGTTAAAATTACAAAGGGCTTGCTGAAACGTAAAGTAGATGGCCCATCTGGCTAGTCAAAATTTCATCCCTTCTCCATGTATATTTAATTTTTTGTAATTTGAGCATCATGGTAGAATGGCAGCCGGGTGCCATTTTGTAATGTAGTGTACAACAACATCTTTATTTGCTGATAAAATTGCCATGAAATTAGGCAAATGGGAGCCAAGATTTAATCTCAGAGTGCAGGAAAAAATGTTTTGGGGATGAGGAGTTCTAAAATTTTCAGAGCCATTTAATTGTAGGCCACTAAGTTTGAAGAAGGGCCAGTAACTTTCAAAAAGGAGCAAGCCCTGTTGGCTACATACAAATTTGTTGGTACGCGAGTGAGTGAGTATGGTTTTACGCCGCTTTTAGCAATATTCCAGCAATATCACGGCGGGGGACACCAGAAATGGGCTTCACACATTGTACCCATGTCGGGAATCGAACCCGGGTCTTCGGCGTGACGAGCAAACGCTTTAACCACCAGGCTACCCCACCGCCCCTGTTGTTAAGTCTATCCCTGCATAGACAGCTTTGGGACAGAATATGATATACACCCTGACGTACAGCCAAGTTATAAGGAGAATAGGTATGCAGTCATATCTTATTGGACACATATCTTCAAAATATTTGCTACAAATTATGAATGAAATTAACCAGAGATTTTCTTGTTATATGGGAGATGTCCAGTATCCCAGTCTGATATTGACCTTGTATGTACAGAGATGACAGGGAATGTACTATGTTGTTGGAGGTTGTTACTGATGTGAGAGAGGCATGAATCAGGAAATGAAACTGTGATTATAAACATCTATACGATATGTGCAATGTGATGTATATATAATGTTATTTCCTCTCTTGATATTGTAGTAGAATTGTACAGTATTCCGAAACCCTGTAATCAGCATCTTCTCCGTCTTCAAATAATACCATTAAATATGTAAAGCCAAATTATATCTAGAATAAGTCTTTTTAATATCTAACCCTATGGTGTCTATGGATGCCGATATTTTATTAATCATAATTCTTTATGATTTTCCTATGTTCAGTTCCAAACATATTTTCATTCCAATCCCTTCACGTCCCTGCCAGGATATATCTGTGTAACTGCTTAGAGCTTATTATTAGTTATGTATGTGTATTTAATCAAAACAGCAAGTATTGGAGCATGATATACTCTGTGGAGTTCATCTAGCTGTGAGCAGTAGATGTGTGTGACGAGTATGGAGCGGAAAGAGTGTGTCTTACTGTTTAAGTTTTAACAGATTTCTTATTGTCAACTGGGTTCAATATGGACTGTTGCTTCATCTGATAGCAACAACATATATTGTTTTTTCATACAACATTATCCGAATTTAGGTATAATATTTCTGTACATCTTTAAATGTGATTGCACATTTCCTTTACCAATAAGATTTTAGGCAGCTTTTCCTGCAGTAAAAATCAAAATCAACCTTAATCGTAGGACAGTTAGTTTGTATGTGACTTTTGTTATTGTGAACTGTCACATTAATAATGATCTGGAATATTCTTAAGTCATTGAAAGAATTTTCATCAAAAACGTGTAGCCATGATAGTTTATACAGGAAATATTTGTTACATTTTGAAGAATTTTGTTATATGTTGAAGAATTTTGTGGAGAATGTAATCATAGAATAAATTATTTGGACCATATTAAAGTTTTACATAGTTTTCAGTAAATAACGGGTAAAAAAAGTTGTTTTGGAAAATGTTGATGGGAACTGAAGTTGTTATTTCGAGGTTAGCAGTGTTAACCGTCCATTTTGAAACCCTAGTTGCTTTGTTATATATTGAGTAGAAATACAAATCTGCAAAATCTACCACTGAATTTGAAATATTTGCTGCAGAATGTTCAGGGGTTGATGATGAGAGATTATGCACAATTATCATGATTCCTTCATGATTTTAGACTGGTCAGACCACTAGATTATTAGTCAGTTCTAGTGAAATGTTGTGTATCCCAGCAAGAACACGCTTGTACCAGATGGTCTTAGAATGGTCTAGATCATGTGGTGTTAGTCGGTGGTTATGGAACAGTTGCAGCTTTCATTCCGCTTTAATATGTACTAGCTGACTAGATGCTGCTGTAGGTTCTGTTAGTCCTATTTATTGGTTGTTTTAGCATCAGTTTGTTATATGCTTGGTTGTGACTTGTACATGCTTCGGAATTATTTTATTTCATTTTTGTTGTAAACTACAAGCAAAATTCATTTTGATGGGTAGATATTGATGTTTTATCCAGGTTAATAGGCTATTTATTTGTTTGCTGAAATTGACAGCAGTTGACTACTCTTCAACTTGAAGGATGGTGAAAGTGTGTTGACCACACATATGTACATTCCTTAGGTAGACTTTCTGAAGATGGTTGACTTTCTGAAGATGGTTAACTGTCTAAAGATGGTTGACTGTCTAAAGATGGTTGACTTTATAAAGATGGGTGACTTTCTGAAGATGGTTAACTGTCTAAAGATAGTTAACCTCCTGGAGATGGTTAACTTGATGGACAGGTGTCGGTATTTATTGCACTGTTGAAGGTGGTAGGGTGACACTGGTGTGGTGGTGTGTTTGTCATACAGAATATCCTGGTGTGATTCACCATAGGGTGGAACATCTCCATGGCTGCAAAGCTTTCTTATTACCATCAACTCTAGATATTCACCCACTCGGGCCACACTGTTTTAATGGGATGGTTTACAGGGATGGTTTCCCAACTAATAAATCTATTAAGCTTTTGTCGGTAAAGTATCAGTTCAGTTTAGTATCTGAATATTTTATAAGTAAAAAAAAAAGCTATAGATTGTGATTGATGCAACAGAATCAACACTAAATCGGTTTCAAATGAATATATTATACTATTTAAGCACTAATAAGCTTGAATTATCTATTTCGGAGGTGGTGAGAGACTCCCAGTACACTGTGCAGTTTATCAGCTGATGTGTAGAATTGTAAACTATTGTGCTGCCATTTATAGTTTCATGCCATTTTATATTTTTGGGTTAAAAGCTTATCACTTTGGTTGATCAATCTGTAAACAAAAAAGTTTAAAATAGTGTGGCCCCACTAATATTGAGAAATAAAACAATTAACTTTTAGTGGTAAAGTTTGGAATTTCCAGAGCAATATGCCCGACATTTGTTCCTTTTGGTGTTGATATTGTGATTTTGATGGTTCTCACAATTTTTCTACTGCACTGCAAGTGATGTTCTTAGTGTGAGAAATTATTTCTAAAGTGACCTCATCATTATAGGTTAGGTATAAATGTTGTATTTGGATGTAATGTGCAAAACCATATATTTTGATGAATGATTGTAATCTTTCCCCCCGTAAAAAGCCCACCTTTTCGCTATGCAGTACTGTTGACCGGTTCTATGCCTAGTAGAAGAGTCAGTCATTATGCATCATATTTATCAGAATTATTGCTGTCACTCTATTCAAAGCAATCTACTTTTAAGTCAATTCTATCAGTAACCTCAATAAAAGGAAACATGTATTTTCAAATAAGATACCATATAGTTGTATATAGTCCGTTATATCCTCGAAGTTCTCATCACTAAGAGGCAACAGATGCTTCATCCTGATACATACATATTTGTTTGTGAAAGACTATTTTTGACAGTATGGATGTCAGTATGTCCAATGTTTACTTGTCGCTCCTTCAGCCATGGTGTAGAGAAACTTGTTTATTGACGTCCCGTCAGCAGTGGTGACTTGTCAGATAGGGATTTCAGTCAAATAAAGCATTATTGTATACAGATGGCTTTGTGTTCATTGTATGCTTGGCATGTACATATTTCTTTACAACCCCTGTGTTTGCTGGGCAGCGTCCATTAGGAGTTCCAGGGTCCTGTGACAGTCCCGTGAAGATCCAGGCTAAAATTGGTCTTCAGCAACCCATGCTTGTCACAGAGATGACTAACGAGATTGGATGGTCAGGCTCGCTGATTTGGTTTGATGGATGTCATTGTATCTCAAATGCGTGGATGTCAATCACTGGATTGTCTGGCCCTGACTCGATTACTTACAGACAGCCGTATGTGGATATGTGCCAGCCTGTCTATTCACTGGGTTTTATAAGGCGTGTGTGCCCTTATTAGGGTGACCCGTAAAGATTCGGGGTAGAATAGATCTTCAGCAACCCATGCTTGTCATAAGAGACGACTATGCTTGTCGTAAGAGGCGACTAATGAGATTGGATGGTCAGGCTTGCTGACTTGGTTTGATGGATGTCATTGTATCTCAATGCTCATGATGTCAGTCACTGGATTGTCTGGTCCTGATAACTGATAACTTACAGGCCGCTGTCATATAGCGAATATTGCTGAGTGTGGTGTTTAACAAACAACAAACAAAGACAGTAGGTTTGAATCCCTGAATATGACCTTTGGTTTGTCAGTGCCATAACCATGCTAATGTTTGGTTTGTCAGTGCCATACCCATGCTAGTGTTTCATAAAGTGGTAAGTGGGTGACCAAGTCTTCTAAGTCTCCACATGACCCAGTATATCTTTTTGGTGCCAGATTCCTGCCCTGATAGATATCCTTGGTCTGTCTTCACCATACCCATCTGTGCTAGTTACGCCAGTTACTTTGAGTCAGGTTAAACCATAATCCCTCAATCAGTCAATGGTGATCAACTGACTGTGTTTCAATGTTAGCTCAACATGAGGAAATTTATTAAATACTCTCAGTGATTTACCACAACACAAATAAAACCTTGTCAAGAGAAATAGAAAGGGTTAGAATTAACTCTCTTGGAAATCATCAATGAGACGCCCAAATAGATATCACACACATAGTTTAGAGATTTCGAACATTGTAGTCAAAATAAATTTCTGACCACTCAAGATCTGCTTTGAAAACTGAATGCAAACCGACCTCCAGGTAAGTGTTTGTGCTATTGAGTATTTACTCGTATGTTATTATTCACACGAAGTATTGATTGTTTCCTTTGGGCATTTAAGATATTTTCTTTCCCATGGGTCCAGTCTAATGGGTATTTTTACACCAATGAACACAGTGGACATTTAAATATGATTCTCTTTAAAATCCCGTTTGTATCTGTATCTTATTTGTACGCATGCAACTCAAAATTAATTGGCAAACGGAAATTTTTGTTTGCGTATTTTACGCAAATATTCAGCTTATTAGAAGTTCTATGAGAATCCAAAATGGCTCTACCTCTGTGAAACACGAGGTCGCCACATGGAATATATTACGGCCACTTCTTTCACTACTTCCGGTAGGCGGGCACTGGGGTTAAGACATTCGTCACCACTCGCCCCTTTCCGTAACCTGCAAGAACTTGTCCCGGAATAACACGAGTTGGTCACGAATGGGGATTAAGAGTGAACTCCCCTCGCTCCTATCAGTTCAAGCTCCTCACAGCGATAGTCCGTTCGCGGAGCTCTCTATACTATGTTACCGAGTGTAACGAAGGTGTCACGCGCTGGGAAGGAGCTTGATGTCAGTTTATGATTTCCACACATTTCTACTTTCTGAACAGAACTCCTTCCATTACATAAAAGCCCGACGCGGTTGACAAATCCAAACCCACACTCACACTCTTATTATAATGTTGTAGCTGATTAATGTGCTGTCATATTCATATCTAGCATTCCACAGATGAAACAACAACGACGAAAGAGTATTTAATTTGTTCATAAACTGTTCTGTTGTCCAAGAGAATAATTTGGAGGGTCAGTTCTCTTCAAAGCCAGCTGACCCTGCAGGCCAGTAGATTATATAACTCCACCTTTCTAAAGTAATTAATTGACGAAATATGACAAATGTAAGTTAAAAGAAACATGTCGGTCTTCAACTTATACCTCTCCTAACTCAATACTGGTCGTGTCAACTCCACCTCATTGACTTCTTCTGTGGCAATGTGATTTGACTGGGGTTGGTACCAACTCCACTGCCACGTGAGAGTGGTGTCCTGCACGCTGGTTGTACTGGGTGTTCGTTGTTTTTTACAGACCCCGAGGAATACTCCATACTGTATCAGTGTAGGGCTGGTTTACACATCGAATTAATCCTGATGTACTCCGTGAAGATCCGGGTTAGAATAGGTCTTCAGCAACCCATGCTTGCCATAAAAGGCGACTATGCTTGTCTTAAAGGCGACTAAAGGGATCGGGTGGTCAGGCTCGCTGACTTGCTTGATACATGTCATCAATCCCAATCGTGGATCGATGTTCATGTCAATCACTGGATTGTCTGGTCCAGATTCGATTATTTACAGACCGCCGTTATATAGGTGGAATATTGCTGAATGCGGCGTTAAGCAACAAACCAACAAACTGATGTACCCCTATAAGACATAACGTGTACATGTGTAGACTCGGGGTCTATTTTGACCGTTCAGCGTCAGCTTCTGCCAAAGCCGATATGCCTTTCAAATAAATAAAGAATCTTTCAGATCTATAACAGCTGAAAAATACACATCTGCCTGACATTTCTCCTGTATAACGGATGTATATGATTATTATTTGGGCTTAATTGATTTCGCTATTAATACAATAACACACATTTGATTTTGGTGCATACTTCGGGACCCTTAGTGCAAAGGGGTCATGATCAAATCGCTGATTTACAGCAGACAGAAACTTCTGAAAAGGGATTGTTTTAACGTAGCCGTCCCTGTACATTGTCCTTTTCCCCCAGCGCATGAGGACATGATACGTTATTATGGTACTCCTGTTGCTGTGTGTTTGTGGCCGTCGCATGAGTCGGACTGTGTATGTAGTGTACATGCACTCCCAAACATTTTTAGTGTAATATTTTTGTATAACATTCAAACTGTCCATTTCCTAGTCGTGCATGATGTCTTAGCAACTCTCTTGTATTTCTGTCTCACCTGCCCTCCTTTCTCCCTACCCCTCGATGTGAAGCGTTCGCAGGCTGTGTCCCCTATCCGTTCCCCTGACCTCCTGAGTGTCTTCAGTCCGTTCTGGGCCCGCCCTGTCTACGGCGAGACCCTCCCCGCCCCAGTCACCATCACCCACGCCGACTACTACCCTGCCCCAAGTGACGAGGATGACAGTGACTACAGGGTGTTTGAGGACGAGGATGACCACAGCTTTGTGGATGACAGAGAGAGTTCATGCCTTCAGAAAGGCGCTGACGAGAGCCGCTGCCTTCTTTAGGAAGATCTTCTCTTAGATTCCTTATCCTTTTTGTATCTGAATATATGTGAGTGAGTGCGCTAAAGAACGGATGGGCATGTGCGTGAGAGGGATAGAGAGGGTGAAAGTGATGGGGAAAATTCCATTAGAGAGACTGAGAGAAGGAGATTGACACTTTTCGTGCGTGCTCTTTTTCACCCTCATCCATACTTCCTGACATCATTTCGGTCCATCTTTCGTTTACGTTTTGTCAAACCTCCAGACTGTTTCATGTTTCAATCTATGAGCCCCGAAGGCGATGCTCCTTATACTGTTTTGACCTTGTTTTTGATTACTCTTTAACCGCCTCCGTGGTCTTGTGGTAGAGCGTCCGCCCGGAGAGCGGAAGGTCCAGGGTTCGATCCCGGGCCGCGTCATACCAAAAGACGTTAAAAGATTGTACTTGTTGTTACCCTGTCTGGCGCTCGGCATTAAGGGGCTAAAACAAGGACTGGTCGGCTCGGAGTCAGTATACTGTGTCTGAGTGGGGTATTCATGTTAAACTGCGGCATGGTATCTCAGTGAGCTAGCACTATAAATCGGCATCAGTCCGGACTAGTACAAGCAGCCACACACACACATACACGTGCATGCACGTCGCTATATAAGTGCAATAATCTTGGACGCGACGTTAAACCCAATTTCACCTCACCTATTACTCTTTAGGCATATAACTTTCGATTTTCCACCATCTTAATAAACGTGTCTATACCGTATACACAAGTTGTTTGTTTTTAATACAGTGTTCCTTATGCAGAGCTATAATGGCTTGGCGACAGCAGCGCCGCATTAGACGCAGCTTGCCAAATCCCTAGGTCTCTCATCACGAGCCAATGGAACATATATAGATTGTAAAGCAGACGTTTGCCGATACAAGGCGGTACTGCTGCCTCCTTGTTTTATCAGCTGTACTTGCAAGTAGCGGGTGACCACCGAGCACGTGGGATTACTTCTGGGTTATACACTTCGTTGTGTGGCGACTGTTATGACGTAGTACGTCATTCTCTGACGATCGGTCTTTTGTGCGTTTTCTCATTTACAAAATGAGATTTATATTCCACTATGCTAACTGATCGTTTCTAATTTTACGGTTATTGTGATGTCCTATTGAATAAATTCGAACCGAAATGTTCCATTCAACACACGAGGTCGCCACATGGAATATATTACGTTGTGATGTCCTATTGAATAAATTCGAACCGAAATGTTACATTCAACACACGAGGTCGCCACATGGAATATATTACGTTGTGATGTCCTATTGAATAAATTCGAACCGAAATGTTCCATTCAACACACGAGGTCGCCACATGGAATATATTACGGGCACTTCTCTCACTTCCATTGCGGTAGACGGGCACGGGATAAAGAGTGATCTCCCCTCGCTCAAATCAACCTTCACTGATGAGGACAATGTTGATAATGCTGTCAACCCTGATAAGAGTCTGGACCAGACAATCCAGTGATTGACATCATGAGCATCGATCCAAGCAATTGGGATCGATGACATCCATCAACCAAGTCAGCGAGCCTGATCACCCGATCCCGTTAGTCGCCTCTTACGACAAGCATAGTCGCCTCTTACGGC